CCTAAACCCTAAACCTCAAACCCCTCATATATCCACCAAAGCCTGAGCCCCTGAGATGCCAGCTGGCTGCGCTGACAGCGCTCCGAAGCGCAGAGATTCGAGACCCGGCCTGCTCCTGCATTGGGAGTTTGGGGGGTTTAAAGCTTGGGGTTTAGGATNNTTAGGGTTAGGGTTTAACCCTAAACCCTAGACCTTGGGGTTTAAGGTGTAAAGTTCTGGGGTTTCGAGTTTGAGGTTTGGGCTTTAGAGTTCAGGGTTTGAGGCTTAGGGATGCTGAGGTTTCGCACTGGGTTGGGCTTAGGAATTCAAGTTTGGGGTCTAGAGTTTAGGCTTGTCCGGGCTTAGGGTTTGCCAGGGGTTTGGGGTTGAAGGTTTGGGATTTAGGGTGGAAGGTTTGAAGTCGTTTTGTAAAGGATCTTTTTAAGTCAGAACGCCTTAACCCATCCGGATCCGTCTGGACCCCGATATCAAACAGGGTTTGGGAGTGTATATTTCAAACACCAATCCAATTCTATTCTAATTCTGGACTCCTTTCTCGGGAGGTAAACAGCATCTTACGAACCCCAAAGCCTAAATCCAATTGTGCCTAGGGTTGCGGTGCCCAGGACAAGCAGCTGCAGAGCTTAAGGTACCTGAACCACTCTTTAGGTACCCTGATATACTGAGGTTTCAAGATGTGCTGTGAAACACCCGGGTCTAGAAAAGAGCCCTTCAAGCCATCTGGGGAAAACTGGTGTGAAAGATAGCAGAGCACCAAGAATGAGATGCATGGGACAAATTAGGAACATAGACAGGGATTATAGGGGTTATAGGGATTATAGGGTGTATATATATATATAGACAGGGGATTATATGGGGATAAAGGAACAAATGGGAAACTACTACTAGTACAATGGGGTTAGGTTCGGGCCTGGAAGTCCGCGCTGAGGGTCGTCACTGAGTTGGGGGCACCAGCCTGTAGGAATTCATGACAAGCTCGGCGGCTTTTTACAGGAGAGTGGGCTTCCTTGTACTTGTCTTCTATTGGGGTATAAACGGATAATATAGGGGTTATACAATATAGGGGTTATAATGGAGAATCAAATTTCAAATGGAAAAATGGAAAGTCACATGGAAACTACTATTACGATATGTCTACTCCCAACGACGCAACACCACCCTACCTGGCCTTGCCCTATGAGAATCCGCTCACATGTGGCGTCATGCAAAGTAAGGGCTACGTGGGGCACCTGCGTGCTCGAATCAAATCAGGACTGCTACCAAAATTCCTGTACTCGTGTATTGACACTGAGCTGGATGCATTTCCAACACCATCATGCAGCTGACGAGGAGTCTACTTCTACGAGGATGAGCTACTGTCAGCGTTGAGGCGTATGATTGCCTATACACTATACTGTCAGACATCCGTTCTTTCTGGAAGCTATTAATCTTCAATACGAAGAGCTCCAAGCAAAAAGCAAAAGGTCGCTTGAAGCCCGCCCTCTCTGTGCGAGCACAATCGCCAATGTCGATGCCCATCGCATGCCGGTACTTCTTTGAAAGCTTGCTAAACGACGCACACAGGGGTTTCCGCTGTTCTTGGAGAATAGACTCATGATCCTGGCTGGGCTTCTACTATCCCCCTGGAACATTACCAGGTGCTTAAAAGCACGAAGCCTGCCCGCCTCTAACTGAGACAGCAGCTGGGGCACCAAGGACCCTGCCTTTCAGCATCAAATAAGGAGGACATAGGATTTTAGGAAGGCGTCGGGAACAGCTTTGGCACAAATTCGGTTCTTCCGAATACCAGCAGAAACGATACTACAATGGAAAGAGAAATCAATCTCGGACAAACTTTTTTTGAACGGAAAACTGCGGAACGCAGAGGACAATGCGCATCCTGGCTTCACTACCCTTCCGAGATCCTGCTAGCCAAGGTAGAAGCCTGCGTCCCGCAGCAGAGC